TGGTGTTCAGGACGCCACAGAAGCTTGTACAACCTCAGTGACTATCTCTCCTAACCTCTATATCCTGCACTGTAGGTTATGTCACTTTACAGAGGCAGTGGTCTGTGGTGTTCAGGACGCCACAGAAGCTTGTACAACCTCAGTGACTATCTCTCCTAACCTCTATATCCTGCACTGTAGGTTATGTCACTTTACAGAGGCAGTGGTCTGTGGTGTTCAGGACGCCACAGAAGCTTGTACAACCTCAGTGACTATCTCTCCTAACCTCTATATCCTGCACTGTAGGTTATGTCACTTTACAGAGGCAGTGGTCTGTGGTGTTCAGGACGCCACAGAAGCTTGTACAACCTCAGTGACTATCTCTCCTAACCTCTATATCCTGCACTGTAGGTTATGCCACTTTACAGAGGCTGTGGTCTGTGGTGTTCAGGACGCCACAGAAGCTTGTATAGCCTCAGTGACTATCTCTCCTAACCTCTATATCCTGCACTGTAGGCTATTCCACTTTACAGAGGCTGTGGTCTGTGCTGTTCAGGACGCCACAGAAGCTTGTACAGCCTCAGTGACTATCTATCCTAACCCCTATATCCTACACTGTAGGTTATGCCACTTTACAGAGGCTGTGGTCTGTGGTGTTCAGGACGCCACAGAAGCTTGTACAGCCTCAGTGACTGCGGATAAATCATAAGGTCCACTCCGTGATCGTGGAGTGCTTTCACTTACTACGTGGAATAATAGAAACACATAAATAACAGTCCGTAGCGTGCGATACATCGTACACAACCTCTTTACCCACCGTGCTTACGGCTCAATGTATGCGGACGGTAAAATATGTGGCAAGACCGGTGTCGATGTGGATTTCGTGCTCAGGAATGAATTTTCCAACACGTTTTTAAAGTCTGTAGTTCTTAGTGCCTACACCTTCGGGCATAACCCATCCACGTTTCTCATTTTAATTATTAGCAAAAACCTTGAGATAAACTTTTTCAACTTGATTCGATGCAGTCATTGTTTTTTTTTAACCATTTAAATAATGTATGTATATTGTATGTATATATAAGGAGTTTCCACTATGACTGTGCTGAGAAGACACTCAATAGGCTTCGTATGAAAATATTTAAAGCTATCAAATGAGTTTAACTGTTGGGGCAGGAGCATCAGTTGGAGTCTCCCTATATGTCTAGCGTAAATTACTCGTCAGGTATATTGAACATGCTATGAATGCAATGTTTTCCCACTATTATATAGACCCAGTTTAAAAGTTTCTCTATCAGAGCACTAAAACTACAGACGACAATACCATTAATACAAATGAATACCCATAATAGTATTTAAGACACGATGCTAAGTGATCCCTAATTTGTATGGCATTTTGGATTTTACGCATGTTTTCGTTATCTTTAAAATGTTTCGGAGCATTTGTTTATAAATATTTCCCAGCAATCAAGTACTCATTCATCAATTAAATAACGTAAGTTTTTCTGGACATGAAACAAGAATATTACGAACATTCGTACTTAAATAAATACTAAAATCTTATGTGTAAGTCTCAATAAAAAAAAAAATATAAAAAAACACGTTAGAGCACAATCCATACCTAAACAAACTTATATTCGTTACAATATTCAGGTTTTTCTTGTTCCAAAATCATAGATCAAGTCATCAATGTTGAATACTGATTACATTAGTAACAAATTATTTTAATGTATTTGATAAGTATCATAACAAATAGAAAATTTATAGTAAAAGCTATGAACCCGATCTTTTTGTGCTGATTTTGTTTTTATATTTTTACTTTCCAAAAGATAAAAAATCTAATGTTTGAATTATCATTCCTCAACTCCTGTGTGAAACGACGGCTTTGCAATATAGTTTTAAATGAAATGTTTAAATTGCTGAAATAAGTTATATTGTTCCGATCGCTTAACAAAAGCTGTAAGCACTCCATAAAGCGTGTATAAAATTAATGTATAAAGTGTGAAAACATTAAAAAAAAGTAAAAAGGAATTTGACTTCTAAAATTTCCTCAAATATTTAAAGCTATATTCAAACACTTAACTTTAATCCATTGATGGATAAATTGTAATATATGATTTTATCTTCAGCATCAAACTGTTTTAAATTTAATGTCTACAAATAATAACTTGAATGGGTATATATATTAAATTTACTTTTAAGTGTCAGACTACGTTTACAAGATAAAGAGTTGTATAGTATGTAATAAAAGTTAATAAAAGTCTTTAAAATAATTTTTTCGTCCGGTTGAACTTGTTAATAAATTACTCTCTATTTTATTCATTGTCCATCCTTTTCTGCTTACCGTAATATTAGCTCAAAGTAGGCTGCATATTAAAATGTTTCCAATTGTAAAGTTTAATTCGATGTTATGTAATAGTCTACTTATTCAAAAAGTGTAGAGAAAACAATAAATGTTATCAGCGTTCAAAATTAATCTTATGAACCAACAACTTTAGTTTATTTTGCCACTAGAACGAAATTGAAGCAATATTATCACCTTGTACTCGAAAAACGTACCAACCAATAAATTAAACTATTAGGAAGCATATGATTGGAATCTGCAGAAAATGTGCAGAAGAAGACTTATATGGCAATGTTCACTTTCCAGGTACCTAGAAAGAGGAAGAATTAATTAGAAAGCTTGGATAGTGGTTTGGTATCAATGTATTGTTGATCGAATGACAGAACCATATGTGCTGTAGATTCTGCTTTTGGTCAGCTGATCTACAGTATATTAAATGACAAAGATTTTGATTTGTACATCAAGAACAAGAGCTGTTTCAAACACTTTTTCTAGTTTTGTAAAATTTATTTACATTTTATTGTACGTTCAATACATTTGTTGAATTATTTTATTAATGTAGGTGTTATATAATCAACAACAATTTTATTTTTTACTTTTCAGTCGATGTATTTTCTACGGCTATGAGTTGAAGTGTAGCAGATATATGAAAATTCGCTCTACATTATAGAGTCTGATTTGTTTACAATACTCAAAATGTTTTAATAATTATTTTTATATATCTCATGAGCTTCTCAACTCATCAAAACTAAAGTTATTGAAAAAAAATGACAGAAATAAAATTATTGAAATTATTGAATAAAATTATAGAATTATCCTTAACTGTTATGGTAGTAAAAAAAAAACTAAATGTTTTAATTTGTTGTAAAATGGGCTGGTTAATGGCACAAAGCTAACAATGAAAAGTCATATGACACATGAATTCCACCAAAACAGTTTTTTTAAACAAAATGTAGGATTTGTGTTCAGTCTAAAACATATTGACTTCTATGACTGGACAATCAAGTCAAGATTTTATTTTTTCTATCTTACAGGCTGGGAAAATATGTCCTAATATACACAAGAATAAATAAACTGGATAAAAAAAATTTTCAAAATACTGTACGTAGAAAAACATGTACGCTAATCATCAAAAGGTATTGGTACTTGGAGACGGATTTAATTAAGTAGCAGTGGTATCAAACAAAGAATAATGATTATACAAAAATATTTTTAGCCCTTCGAGACAAATTAAAATATGTACCGCACAAATAAAAGCCTATAGTAGAATATGCATGTCAATAACATTTGAAGGTGATGATAACAAATAAACTTTCAGTTGTACGTTTGGTAAAAATAACATATTGGTTGAAAACAGTTTTTGGTCCTTCGAGCCGGATTAAATAGTCTACGACATACAAATACTGGTAACCACATAATAATATTCATTAAATACCCCCGCCGCAGCAAACCTGCCGACTAAGCGAATTTCCATTTGTCTGAATTGATTTTCAGTTAAATATATTTTAATAACATTAGGTTTAACGAGTACCTAGGTTTGCTGCTACACGGAAACTAATAAAGTGTGTTTTTGAGTAAAATATTGATAGCTTAGTACAAAATAAATAAATTTGCCAAGTTTGATCAAAATATATTCATAAACAAGCAAACTACAACATTTGACAATATTCTCCATAAGAATAACATGGGAATTTTAAATTTACAATTTTTTTTAATTTTCTCCGTTACTAATAATCGAACAAAAATACTTTTATATACTAAATTATTTGTTTTTTTAAGCTCTTTAAAAAGGTCTAAAGAGAAATTGGGAAATTTTGTGTTTTGAGGGTCAAAAGTGAGAAAAACCAATTTTTACCCCATAAAACCCCCCGTAAAGCCCCGTTCCCATGGTCCGATCAAGCTGGTTCGCGAACTCATTCAAGTTTATCCCGCTTTACACCTTTAAACCAAATTTCATCAAAATCGGACAAAAATTACTCAAGTTATCGCGTTCACGGACGTATATATATATATATATATATATATATATATATATATATATAAAAGTCTATATATATATATATATATACATATATAAAAATTTGAACGAATAGTGTTTTTGGCCTCTGGGGACATCAAAATGAAAAAGTAAATCGGTCCCGGGTCTAGGTCTTACCGTGCCACCTACGGTAATAGCTACTTCCCTATAGGGAAATTCGCTAAAAAGTAGGTAAAGTATATAACAAAAAATTCACGTCTTACAATCACATAGGCCTATACACCTACAAGAAAATTGACAGCTCAACTTTTTTATACTGTAACCATAAAGGTCATTGAAATAGCCAGAACAACAGTCTGAAAACAATTCACAGATATATATATATATACAAGAACGCATATAACAAAACTGGAAAACACATAACGCAGAAACCGCGCATCACTACTACAAACGTAAGAAGCCCCCCGAAATAATGAAATAGCCGGGGGGCACGGAACGGCCGGCGGAGGAGCGAGACGAGAGAAGGGGGGTGAGGAACCTGGTAAGGTATGCATAATGTATCCATCCACGGAGTAACCGAGTGGGACGGGGGAGGGGGAACCGAGGCGGCCGGCGTTCCGACATCCCAGGAGAGAACGGGCAAAACCTGTCTTGGAGCGCGGCCCTCCGTCGCTTCGTCTACACGGTCCCAGTGTAGTGGTAGTGTTGCTGCCAGCAAAGCTATAGCCGTACGCGCTCCGTCTACAGTGTTTCTGTAGCTAACACAAGATAGTGCTGTACCGTGCCACAGTAGTGTGTGTGTGTGATGGGTGCTGTGCAGTGATAGTGTGTGCATACCAGTCATGGATAACCACTAGGATACACCCTGTAAGGTGAGATTCGCCTAGCGCTGTAGGCCTGCCTCGGCTGGGTTAGTGATCTCCGCATTTGAATACAGAATTGATTATCCGCTGTTTTGGTAACGTAGTAGTAGTGTTTAGCTAGTTTGGTTATGTTTTGAAAATATTTAGTGAGGTAGACGTAGGCCTATAATTCGTATTGTTTAAGTTGAAGTTTGCGGAATCGAAATGAAGGAGAATACCATAATGGTAATTGTATGGGGAGAATGTAGAAAGAAGTGCAGCTAATTTGCTACACTACAGTACTGAAATACAATTCAATTATCTAATACAAGTACACAACAATATCCCTAAGTAACCCTAAGTGTTATCGTAGGCCTCATGAAACATGTTACAATGTTAATGCCGCCCGACGTTATATTTATTTTCACATTATACCATGCTACAAAGATGCTGTGTATCGTTGAAACCCTAAAACACAATAATCTTAAAGAATACTTCAATATATTTCAGCCAAACCATTCCATTATTGAAGTGGAGGTACTGTACATTTAATAAGTTTTATTCTTCTGATAATATTAACGCCCGTCCTTATATGCAAAGCAAAAGTTCTTGGAATTCCTCAAATCATCCATTTTATGATATAAGTTTATGAGATACATAAAAAACACATCATAACACAACAATAAAAACCACCTAAAACGCTAAAGGAAAATGATACCTTAAATTAATAAACTGTCCCTCAAACTGCCCCTCGAACTGTGGGACGCTTAAAGAGACTTTAACGGTGGTAGAAACGAAGTCTCAAGCTGAATCTGCAAAAACTGATGTACTTTTTGTAGAAATTAATCTTTGGTTCAGATAGGAATTTTTCTATTGATATTTTAGCTAGGAAGTTGTCAGGGAAGATTTTAAAGAGTGTGTTTAAATCTTGGGACCACTTTAGACTTTCGACCACGAAAAAAATTCGTTCTGCAGGATGTGCACTGTCCAGGATGTCTTTGGTCCGTTGACATTAGCCAGGCTGGACATGTGTTTAGCCTCATAACCCAGGGTCAACGTAGCACACATGGCTAGACAAACACTTGAAATCGACTTCTTTTGTCATTTCTAAACACGAAAACCCCGAGAACTGCTGTATTTCTAAATTTTTCACCTAATCAATACATCTTTGAGGATTTTCATCTTCAGACAACGTTGTTATTTTGGTTATGGTTTATTGAAGTTTAAACAATTATAATTTTATAATTACATAGTTGACGGGAGTACAGAATAAAACAAATTTCTCCTCAAAGTATAGCCTACGTTTGGCATTATTACAATATAGGTACATAGCCTTGTGTTGGTTAGCCTTCAATAGGCCTACTAAAAAACTGTTTTGGTTTAGGCTATATCATAAAATATCAAATAATTGTAGGTTAACAAAGTACGATTAGCTGAACAAAATACATAATACACACGTTATAAAAATTATAATGTTTTCCATGCTGTATGAAACACACATTATGAATCCTATTACGTTTGTTTTCTGGTATAGGCATATACTTATATTACGTTTTTTATTGGCTTATGAAATGAAAACGATACAGTAAACCTTCTTTAACAGTGTATTAATGGAACTAATTTGATACATTTGGTCGCTTATTGCTCAGTACAAAAACAATTTTATACGAACAGTCACCCAAAACTTTATTTTAAGCTATGTCCAGCAGTTCTAATTGGCACCTGATCTATGTTTGCATTGATTAAGCAACGTAGCTACATGAAAAAAGTATCAGAAATGTGTAATTTCATAACTTTTACATTTTTTCTAAATTGTTGCTACATTTACACTGCACTAACAAAATAAACAAATACAATGGCACAGTTTCATCTCTTAACATATTCTTTAGTTTTTTCTGCAAAACAATAACCTGTAGGCTACTATAGTAAATACCAATCTTCGCAACGTTAGATCGAGAGTAGGCCTACCCAAAACCAAGAGCATTCATCGAAATTATTTTCCTCTGACAGTGCTTCAGCAATCCAAAATCGTAGACCCGAACTCCGTTGTCTCCGAAAGAGAGGTTTCTTTCTAATTGTTTTGTTAATTATAAGACGGCGGGAGAAGCTTCGGTCCAAGGGGCTAGCGAGCGTAGCGAGAGAGAGAGAGACAGGACGATGAGCGAGAGAGAGAGAGAGGACGATGAGGTTAGGCAGGTCGGCCGGCTGGCATTCCTTCGTTCAACACCCCACACCAACAAAAAGTCGAGCCGAATCTGCCACTACCAATACCCATACCCTTGCTCCACCTCGGCTTTCTCTGCACTTTTCACGAACAATGGCTAAGAAAACGGGTGATTAGGCGATAACACAGGAGCCCTAGTGGTCAGAGGTCGAAGAGGTTGGTGAATTGAAGCTTGTAGATTGTGTTTTAGTGAGTTTACTCTAGATTTTGAAACGTGTTTTGGTATTCTAAGCATTTCACGTTCAATGTAATACCGGGTTTCTTAATTAATTGCTAAGAAAGAACATGGTTGGAGGATAAGTTTTAGTTCTTGCAGTCATTTGTAGACATCCTAGTTTGTATGTGAATCTTTTTTAAATGCGTTTACTCCTGTTTTGGAACGTTATTTAGTATTCTAAATTCTTCACATTGAATCATTTCCGGGTTTCTTGATGAATTGCTTAGAACATAGTTTGAGGCATGAGTTTAAAGTAATTTGTTGATATATGTTTTGATTAAAGCTTGTAGTTTGTGTTTAGGTGTGTTTCCATCAGTTTTGAGTCATCATTTGGTATTATGAGTTCTTCACGTTCAATGTAGTCTTGGTTTCTTGATGAATTGCTTAGAACATAGTTTGAGGCATGAGTTTAAAGTAATTTGTTGATATATGTTTTGATTAAAGCTTGTAGTTTGTGTTTAGGTGTGTTTCCATCAGTTTTGAGTCATCATTTGGTATTATGAGTTCTTCACGTTCAATGTAGTCTTGGTTTCTTGATGAATTGCTTAAGAGCATAGTTTGTAGTATATTTTTGAAGTTTACCCAGTCATTTGTAGATACTCTTCTTGTAAATTGAAAATTGTCAATTCTGTTTTCATTAGTTTACGCCAGTTTGAGAAGTTGTTTGGTACTTTAAGATCGTAACCCTCTATATGTTCTTGGGGTTTCTTGACAATTTGCTAAGAACATTGTTTGGAGAATAGGAGAATAACTTCACAGTTCGTGAAGTCATTTGTATTGTAGGCATCTTTATTAGAAGCACCCGTTAGTTTTTGCACAATCTTTAGCTTTTCATCCTGTGTTCTTTGATGTAAGGATAGATATTTTGTGACGGATGATTATATCAATGTATGATAAGATGTCAGTATTTTATTTCTTGTGACGGCGAACTAGAGGTTATAATAGGCTATGATTCTGAGAATTTACTGGATTCAGGCAGTAGGCTAATATGTTTATGTCGATTTGTAGTAGAATGGCTAGGTTGCGTTAGTGAGTGATTATAGATGGCCAAATCGTATTTATTTTTCAACAATACGACACATTATTTATGATCTTTAGTAGAACTGTGTTTCTTAGAAGTTTTGATCGATTGGATGTCAATATTCGGTAGTTTGTTCATTTCGGTAGCTTTTCTTAAACAGTTGATGGAAGACAAGATTAAATTGTTACTCAGGATTTTCTGTAGTTAGTTATTGGCATATTAACTGCGTATTTCATGAAGACCGTGTAAAATGCTTAATTTTGGGAGATTTGATCAGTATTGACATTAATAATTTTGTAGTATGCGTTCGTCCCTTTCTGTGTGTAGATAGTTCAAACACTTGTGACTAAGAGATAAGACTAAAAAGTCAGTGGTCAATTGTAGAGCACCAATTGTAGCTTGAAGAGTATGTTTCGTGGAAGCTATGTTATTCTATTTACTGTATTCAGTTTTTCGGGATTTAAAGTTAACGTACATATTTCTTTTCATATAGCTGGAAAACGGGTGTTAAAAGGATCACAATAACAGGCTATATTTTCCGTCAAGGAGTAGTGGTAGCTTAAAAAGAATAGTTGTTTAAGTAAAGAGTTTCTAGGAAGTAAGGTTTTGTGACGATATTACATTTCCTGCATTAAAATTATCCTCCCTTTTCTTTCTAATAGCTAGATTATAGACGATGCAGGATAAAAATGTTTTTGCTTTCAATGTTTACTGTTGGATATATTTGTAGATTGCAGCTTGGATATAGTATATCGAAGTCACGTTATTTTTTTACGATTCAGTTCCTGATGTAAACAAACCTTACTCGATACCCATAACCCTTCCAATCGACGTACCGGTATGCAGATACTACAAAATAAATTTATCCTATTGAGATGTACATATTGTGACCGAGAAATAGGCGACGTTGCTCGTTGGTAGCACATTTTTGAGTTTAAGATACATCTAGCTATATTTTTATCGTAATATGGCTACAGTATTTGAAAGAACAAGGGTTTATCACTAATCAAGTGAATCATTTAAGCTATGCAGTAGTGATGTTTTTGAATCTTGTGAGGTAAATTTTACAATTTAAACTGTTTGATTCTTTGCACGGACCATTGTCTTGGCAGTTCCCTAATGAAAACCTTTACAAAAGGTTACTGAGACATAATTAAAGGTTTAATTTACTGCTATCGATACACCACGTTAACAAATTAGAATCCTTTAAACTTATTGTTTCTTTCGATCAAGGCGCAGTTTTCTTTCAATGTTATGTTCTTTGCAGTGCTCATCATAAATATCAATTATCCCCCTCAAAAACAATGCTGTAATATTAAAATATCGTCCTCCTTGTAATTGAACAAATAACATACGTCATCCTCTCTACAGTGTTAGTTTTCAAGACAAAAGTAAAAAGTTCACACTGTACATACCAATTATTGTTTGTATTTATTAAATAAGGTAGCTGTGCTGATAAAAGCAGTTTAGGAACTAAATGACCAAAAATTGATCTTTGGCTCATAGAAAAATTAACTTAGAATGACTAACAAACACAACATTTTCTTAAAAGTTGTTTAAGATGGATG